ACCCTTAATGATTATAAAATAAATGTGAGATATAACCCCTTCCTTTAAAAAGTGCATCACTAACAGTAAATAAAACTCAGCACCAGAGTGACTCTTCACCTACTTTGCTCCTGTAATCATTACCTTTGTGAGGAAAAATAATAGCTAATATTTGCTGAGCACTTTATGCCTGCCAGTTTATTACATGAACTCATTTAATGCTTATAGTAAGAATATTAAGAAATAGAAATTGTTATTCTCAGATTATAAATGAGAAAACCCAAGACGCTGGAGGTGAAGCCATTTGACCATGATTTTAACTAGTAGATATATGATTTCTCCATCCTGGGACCTGAGAAAGAACTTGGTCAGTCCTCACATTTTACAATGAGGAAATTGAGACCCAGCAGAGGTAAGTGCTTCTTTCTCAAGATCACAACTTGTTCCTCCTAGGGCAGGTCACATAAAGTCTTGCCCTAAGGTGGCTATGTAATAAGATCAGGAGGAGATAAGCTTCTGGGTCTTGATTTTGTTCTGTCTTCTAAGAACTGGGAAGATACCCAGAAATTCTCTGTAACAGCATGCTGTAAGGATACAGCATCTGCTGATGCCTTGGCCTTGGGAAAGCCTCCAGGGCAAGACTTATTTACTCAGAAGCTGGGCCATGGGGATCCATCCCTCCGCAAGCCCAGCTAACTGCATGTGGAGGTGGAGACCAACTGACAGTGTCTGCATTTTGGGTCCCCGACCTACTAGCTCTGTGACCTTGAGAGACTTATAAGACCTGTCTAAATTTCAGATTCTCCTCTGTGTAACAAGGATTTTATGAGGGTTGTTGTGAAGACTAGACAGCAGATACATAACAAATGGCAAATATTAATAAGAGAAAAAAGAACGAATTAATAAGAGAAAAGTTTCAGAGATCCCTTGCAATTCCAATTCCAATTCATCTATCTTACTGCTTCTTAAGTCACCAAGACTGGGGAGTCCTTCAAAATATCCCTCCATAGCTTCAGCAGACACTTAATTGGCAAAGATTTGATGACTTGATGTGGTTCTTAATCAAGGACCTTGAAGTAAGGACCACTACACCGACAGGGTTAGAAATCTTTTCACTTATGAAGACCTATTTGGTGTATTCTGGACATAGGAAAACCATAATTACCATATTTAACAGCTTATAAAGCACAAGCCAAGCATCTTCCTTGCCTGTTTAATAATGTCCAGGTATCAGGCTTTTAATGGTATCTATCAGCCTTGAAAATATACATGAAATAACTTTTTTCATTAACTTTTTTTACTGTTTATTTACTTTTGAGAGAGAGAGACACAGAGCTCGAGTAGGGGAGGGGCAGAGAGAGAGGGAGGCACAGAATCCTAAGCAGGCTCCAGGCTTCCAGCTGTTGGCACAGAGCCCGATGCGGGGCTCGAACCCATGAACTGTGAGATCGTGACCTGAGCCGAAGTCAAACGCTTAACCGACTCAGCCACCCAGGCACCCCTACATGAAATAACTTTTACAACAGTAGTTCTCAAGCTTTAGCGTGCTCAGAATTATCAGGAAACCTTGTGAAAGATGTACATCTGAGCCAGGCAAGGCTGGGAGATATACATTTTATCAGCACCTCCAGCCTCGTTCTGAAGTTTAAGGTCCTCGGAACACACCTTGAGAAAGACTGTCCTAAGGGCTTGCAGTGGAGCTACTCTTTCTTGATGCTTTCCAGGAAAAACCCAAACAAATGCCCTTCATTCAGCAGGAGCAGCAGAAGAGGAATAGTCAACTCTTGAATTACGATAGATTTCTCCTCCTAATCTAAATGACTCAAACAGATACAGTTTCATTTGGCCCAGCTATATTATGTTCTATAAAAACACGAAGATTCACAAGTAAGCTCCAGATAGGGACTGATTTCCCTCACCAACTCTGATCACTAGGCTGTGATGGATTTAGTTCTCTAAGCAACGAGTGATTTCTTCTTTGGCACGAGAGATTGGAAGTAAAAAGGAAAAGAGGAGTGAATAAAGGGAGGTGGTAATAGATGGTTTGCACTGCATACAATGTGGGCTGGGTATAAAGTTGTCCAGAGAGAACGGAAGCTGAGTTCTTCCATCACACATCTAAAGGTTCCTATAGGAGTCTAAACAACGTATGTCAGGTGGCTTAATTAGAAACTCCTGGACTGTGAGTTTCACACACTCATGGGTGGGCCAATGGCCATTTTAGTATTTAGGCTTCGGTCACATGAGATAATAGCAGTTATCCAAAAGCATTTGAGTGAAAACACACACACACACACACACACACACACACACACACACACACACACTTTCTCATGCCTTAAAATAAAGCCTTGCATTTTTTAGAGTCTTTTTTTTTAAAGTTTATTTATTTACTTAGAGAGAGAGAGGGGGGGGGGGGAGAGAGAGAAATCTAAGCAGGCTGCTCACTGCCAGCGAGAAACCTATTGTGGGGTTTGAGCTTACTAACTATGAGATCATGACCTGAGCTGAAGTCAGATGCTTAACCTACTGAGCCACAGAGGCACCCCAAAGCCCTGCTTTTAAACACAGCATATCATGTTGTTTTTGAGTTTAAATATTAGGGAACACATTTCATTGATGATTAAAACAATGCTAAACAGGGGCGCCTGGGTGGCTTAGTTGGTTAAGCATCTGACTCTTGGTTTTGGCTCAGGTCATGGTCTTATGGTTCTTGAGTTCGAACCCCACTTAGGGCTCTGCGCTGACAGTGCAGAACCTGCTTGGGAATCTCTCTCTCTCTTTCTGCCCACCCCTTGCTTGTGTTCTGTCTCTCAAAATAAATAAAGTTAAAACATAATTTAAGGGGCACCTGGGTGGCTCAGTCAGTTAAGCGTCTGACTTTGGCTCAGGTCATGATCTCACACTCTGAGTTCGAGCCCCAGGTCGGGCTCTGTGCTGACAGCTCAGAGCCTGGAGCCTGCTTCGGATTCTGTGTCTCCCTCTCTCTCTGCCCCTCTCTCACTCACACTCTGTCTCTCAAAAATGAATAAATGTTAAAAATTAAAAAAAAATAATTTAAAACAATACTAAACACTACTAATTATTTGAGGGGGTGTGGTGAACATTTGCTCTGTCCTTCCTCTAGGCAGTGTGCTAAAGGAGCCTAATGCCCCCGGATGGACACTAGGTAACTCTTCAATGGAATTTGAATTTTGTTATTGTTTATGGGTGTGATTCTGATTATGCTGGAAGCTGGAAGTATATTGTCAGCCATCTTTCAGGGTGGTAGTATTGCCCTGCCCTGTTTAATCAGAGCTTCTTAGAAGAAGTGGGCTCAGGAGTGATTTAAAATGAAAGAAGATGGATGTTTAACGAATTTCAATAAAAAAGTTCAATCATTTTTAAATTGAGAGTGGGTATGGAAACTGAGACCCATGGGAATTAAAGGAAGTGCTCAAAGCCATACAGATTGTTTTGTTGTTTGGGGCATTATGGGGCTAACAGACCTCACAGGCCTAACTTGGAAAAGATGGCAGGACATCTTGGCCCTGCCCTCATCGCTGTTCCCCTGATTTCGTGCAATTCCACTTGGTCATCTGTGTTCCACATAGGAAGTCGTGCCTGTTTTCTGAATATTGAAGGTACAGTGTAAATGTAAAGTTTTTATAGTGAGGTACGCAGGACCAATACCTGTTTAAGTAAAGATCTAAATATTTTGCTGAGACAGCGAAGTTAGTATGGATCCCAGGGTAAAAAAAAATCCAGGACAGGAAATGCTCAGTCCTCCAGCACTGCCTGGCTACCTGGAGCCCTGGGCTGTGACCCTCAGCCCCGCCCTGCAGTATTAGCTCAGGACTCCAGAGCAGAGGCTGTGATTTACTGCAGGGCTGTGGGCAAGTTCCTGGAACCTGGCTGTCCTTCCCCCTTCCGCGTTTGTACACCAGAGGGATGCTGCTGCTGTCTCCGCACTGCTTCATCAGAGACACTGTGTGAAGGTAGCTCCTGTTTGGGAAGGTTTTAGAGCACACATTCCACCTCCCTGCTAATACAATTACTAACACTTTCTCGTAGGATAGGGCCAACTCTTCACCCTTTTTCTTCCTTTAAAAACAGAACAAAGGGTATCTTTTCTTGTCTCCCTGTGGCCCAAAAGGCTTTAGTGGTTGTTACCTCCTCAGAAGGTCAGTTTGCTGAGGTTAACAGTATTCCTAGGCACACCACAAATAAACAACAATAACAACAAAAATTACTGCTGTGGTGGTTCTTAAGTTACAATAAGCAGACTTTTCTAACTGTAAAAACATTGGCCCCAGCCTGTCTCCACACCACCTCTGTCCTCAAAAGTGCTAGGCCTGGGGTCGCAGAGGGGAAACCAGACTGTTTATTGGGGCCATCTTGTTTTGGTCATCGCCAAGGCTTTCCGCAAGAAGCATTTAAAAAAATGTTTTGGAAGTAAGGTGACCTTTCAATAGCCAAAGAAGTACCTCTTAGCGCGCACAGTTCTGCGCACAGCCTGTTTCTCAGTTTGGAAATCCTTTAACAGTTTATGGAGGGCCACTCTTTAAGCCAATCCAACAGCTCCTTTTTCCATAACCTGATTTTAGAGGTGTTTCATTATCTCTAATTACTCAGGGTAAATGGTGATTACTCAGTGTTTTAATCATCAGTTTGGGCTGCAGTTACTCTAAACTCGGGGAAGCCCAGACTCCCATGGGTATTTTTGGAAGGAACGGCGACTAGTCGGTGCATGCTTTCTAGTACCTCTGCACGTGGTCCCCAGGTGAGCCCCGGCCGCTTCCCCGGGCTGGAGGCAGCACCGTCCGGGCCGGGGCAGCAGCTGTGGACTCCGGCGCAGCCCGGGCTTCCGGGACCCGGGCCTGCGAGGCGAGGCCCGGCGGCTGGATGGGAGGATGTGGGCGGGGCTCCCATCTCAGAAAGGGAGGCGAGCGAGGGCGGAGGGAAGAAGGGAGGGGCTGCCGGGGAAGAGGAGGAGGAAGGAAAGAAAGAAAGGGAGCGAGGGAAAGAGGGGGAAGGAGAAGATGCACGAGGGCAGAGGAGGAGGGAGGGAGGGAAGGAGAGCGGAGCCCTGTCCGGAAGCTAGGTGAGTGTGGCACCCGAGCCGAGGGACGAGAGCCTGAGACGCTGCGGCCGCTCGGGGCTGAGTAGCTCGCCTCTCTCCCTGATGGGATTCCCGTCCGCGCCGTCTCGAGCCTGCAGCGCCCCAGTCCTCGGTCCTTGCCCAGGTTCACTGCAGCCGTTCAGAGGTCCCCGGGAGCTGCTGCTGGCAAGCCCGCTACTGAAGGGACCTATGGTGAGCAAGGCTACCTGGCGAGGGGAGCCGGGCAGAGGGGGCCGGGGAGCATCCTTGGGGGGAACGGCGGGGGGGCTCAGCCTGTGGCCACCGCTAAAGGTGGCTTATTTTTTCTCCAACCGTGGTGCTAGAGGTAGGGATGCTGGCGCTGAAAGGCACTTCCACGTCTTCTGCTGTCTCTACCCAAGCCACTTTCTCCGTCCGGCGGCCCCGGGCCATTTCCACCTTTGATAGGTTCGGAGCAGAAGGGAAGGGGAAAAGAGGAGCCTCTAGTTGCGGGTCGCTGGGAAAGACTGAGGGGTCCTAAGACGAACGCGTTGCGAGGGCACTGGCGTTTGCGATCCCCGGACGGGAAGGGCCGGGAGAGAAAGGAGTGTCGGCTCCGAGGTCCTGAGAGTGTGAGAGGGCCGAGGGACCGCGAGGTGGAGAAAGAACACCTAACCAGGGCTGGTTCTCTCGCGGGGAGCGCGGTCCTGCAGCCTCCGGATCTTGCGCGCCGCCAGAGGGGCTGCGTCGAGGGGAGTGTCACCCGACCCGGCCCCCAGCCGGCGGGAGCCCCTGAGAGCACGCGATATGCCGCTGCACGACGTGCCTGCTGCACAAACTATTTTCATGAACTTGCAGCCTCCAAGGAGCCTCTCCCCTATCGTTTCCTGGTGTAGGGTTTGTAGGGACCATGGTCAGGATGCCTCGCGCTCCGGGCACGCGTCTTCCTGCGGTGTCGTGGCCCATGGGGAGTCGCTGGCGAGACGCGCTACGGACCCAGGCTCTTGCTGGTCCTCCTTGCCCAGAGCCGACTGGCAAGAGCCCTGGGATTCCTGGGTCCTTGTGGACCCCTCCCTGCGGGAGACGGGCCCGACGCTTCCGACGCTTCCTGGGCACCGCTTAGGTGGATGGACTGTGAAGATCGCAGTTTGTGGGCTGAAACCTTTGTGAGACGTTAAGCTCCCCCACCCCCTCCGCAAACGTAGACTTAGTAAACTGAGGCCATCTCTGGGCCAACTTCGGCGTCGGAAGAAGACTCAGGCGGGGAAGTAAAGGACAATCGTCACGAGTTGCATCCCTGCCTCCCCCCACTCCCAAGAAAAAGTTCTGGAGACGAATATCCTTTTCGACGTTTATCTTTTTATTTCAAAAAATGAGGGGGGCGGATTGGGGGAGGAAAACGTGATTAGAGACGAAACCTACGGAATCTGAAATTGAAACGCAACCCAATCTTGGTCCAGCCTCCGGGTTTTAGCGCCGCGCGCTCCCGCCGCCGCCCTGGGAGATTCCTTGGGGCAGAGGATTGTCCGGGGATCCCGGGCGCCCGCCCCTTCCACCGGCCCTTCGCCCCGCGGGGACTCGCTCTTCCCCGTCTGCTTTTCCCATTTCTACAGCTCCTCCCACGGGGCTTTT